TCAAGCAAGATATTTTACATAATCTTTTAATAGTTTTTAGATATCTATGATAACAAAATATTAAAATTTATTAACTATTAAAAGATAATGTGAATAAACATCCATGTCACAAATTAATATTATCGGTAACTAAATTATTAAAAATTTAAAATAAATAAAATTTGGGTTCATATTTAGTATATTATATAATTTTTATAAACAACACCATTTACATAATACCGCAATCATTATTAATGTACCGATAATGACTACTTCAATAATATTTTTATAATTTTATTAAATATAATATTAATAATCGTTATATTAATTTAAGATAAATTATGTTTTACGCAAAATTGTTTGATTAAAATGATGAATAAATATTTCAATAAATAGCGACATAAATGCCGCAAACAAACCATTTCCTAATAAAATGAAACAAATGAGCGAATCACTGATTTTAATGATTACATTTTTATTATGATTTTTCTGATTGTCATAACTCTCTGTCCACTTGTCTTTTGATTTACTCAATGAATCCATAAAGTGGTTGAACTGAATGTCTTCTCTAATCCTTTTAGTGGTTATCCCCGAATGTAATAAATTATAAAACCTTTGGACACAAAAAAAAGTTTATAAACTTTTCACAAAAACTTTTCGCACTATTCTTACAATCGGTTTAATTTATGTTTGAGTTGCGGTTTTAGGCTGAATCTCATGGGAAAGTTGACAATTTGCGGGTATATACTGTTTTGGCACAAATGCCAGGGATAGCGGTTGTGATGGCCCATCACCTGCCGAAGCGACTGCTCACTGGCCACCAGTGCGTGGGACTCCTCCACCAGTTTTCTGATCACATTTGCACTGAACATATCCGAGTGGCTGATGAACACAAACCTTTTGGTCAGCGATTTGTACTCCTTATGTGTAATCATAATCAGTAAAAATGAGTAAAAAAGTAAATAAAAAAAAATTTCTAAACAAAAATACTTTGGCGATCATGTAGTAGGCATTGGACTGGGCTTTGATAAGTGGTATGATGTCTGGCCGCTCAACCAACTGCTCAATTGAGTCCAAATATAAGGTCCGTTTGGCGGATATGGAGGCCTCGATATCGCTGGTAAACATGAGTCTTAACACGAATGTTGTGACCAACCAAAAGCCTATGGATATATTAATATGCATCTGAAATATATAAATATTTGCGGCAAATATCATGTTATCAATGCTTTGGCCGACGAGTACACCGAAGTAGTCGAAGACAACTCCCAAACGATTCCAATAGTCTTTAATAACCACTGAATTGATGAATGAATTCATTACGAATGCCATTAATATGAGAGTCCACATGGAGTTTGCGAACACATAGAATATGTTGAGAATATTGGCCCTGCTCACTATTGGCACACTTAATATACTCAATCGGTTTCTTGAGGTGAAAAACTGGCCGAAATCTATTGGACTGTCTTTGATGTCTCGGTAGGCAAACAATTTCAATATAACGTCCGCTGACTTTCAAATAAATAAATCAAAAATTACAAATAAATCCTGATTAGGGATTAGGACACCTGATTTGGGTGCACCACCTGGTTTGCAATTAGCGATAGGATCCCATTCCAGGTACCGTTTGAGAGTCGACCACCACTAATGTCACTTGCTGATATTTTGTAAGAAATACTATATATGTTTAAATAAGTATTATTTAGTTTATAAGTCAATAAGTATTAAAATTTTCCAACAAAAATTATCATGTTCATACCTTGATTGCAGCGATAGTGCAATGAGTTTAATCATATAGTTTGTAGAACTGCACACATACTGTAAGCCTTCAAATTTGAATATCTCATCGAAATATAATGTAAATTAAAATGATTTTTATAATATATTCAAAGTCTCTAATAAATACCTCGGATGGAAAAAATGCAATAATTAAGTTTTCACTTATATTTTGACCAAAAGTTAAATTTTCGCTTTCACTCCATTTGAGGCAAAACTTATCTCTTTTTAAACTCATTTTAAAAACTCATTATAATATTGGATATGAAAATGTATTATATTTTATGAGTTTATTAGAACTCAAATTATGCATTCATTGAGTACACAAATATGACAATTTTCATAACACTTTTTAATAATAATATAACACAAAAGTACAATTGCTATTGAAAAATACACACTAGTTCAAACTTCATCAATAACACATATAATACATAACAACATATAATAACTCAAAATGAATGTACTGTAAATGTGACAGATAAAATCAAATATCAATTGAAATGAAATGTCATGAAAACTTATAATTATCACATCAGTTGACTTTGTCTAGATAAAAACTCAATATGTTTGTTATGTTATATAATCAATAAATGAGTTTTAGTTATCAAATATATTTATCATACATGAATGAGGAATATTCTTACATGTATTTCCACGTGTCTAATACACAACAAAAGAATATTCTGTGAATAAATCACTATATAATTAATCTAGAAAACCAATACCATAGAAATAATTTATACTGTGTTAGATTATATTTATTTACTAATAACAAAATTATTATTAAATATTTACCTATTTTTGAAGGTTTAAAAATTTAAATATTTGACAAATAAAATAAAATAATTATATATATACTGTAATTCTAAAAATACATTTTATTTTATTTCTTACATTACGAAACAAATACATATTTTAAGTAAATATAAAATCATAAAAAAATTATTGGAAAAAGATAATTAGATAAAATCAATCATAGAAATAATAATATTTTGATAAATAAACAATAAATAGCAAATTATACTTAGGTTGCATCTTACAAAATAAAATGCAAAAATAATGATAGAAAATATATAAATCACACTATAATTGATAGTTGAGTTTAGTATTACTTTTGGTATTAGTGTTGTATTTCTTGATCTGTTTGAACGCCTTTTTCCTTAACTTCGCGAACCGTTTGGCTTTAAACACACAAAACGCGAAACTCCACGAAATGACAAACAATAGGATCGAGCACATAGTAACAAGCACAATCAACAAAACGTCGGCACCTCTCAGATCGGACAAAAACAAGCTGGTTATGACCGCACATATAATGATCACTGTCACACACACGGCATAGGATATGGCGATATGGAGGTGCTCCTTGAGTTTTCCCCACCAAAAGGCATTTATAATGCCAAACACGGCGCTGAATATGACCGTGGTCGCTATGAGCACTACAATCACTTGATTTGTGTCCAGTTTATCGCCAAACAGATCCCGGCCGGTGATGGCAAAGTATAGACTGAATAAAATCACAATTAGGTTAATGAGCGATAAGGAGACCCGGAGTACTTTGATGGCCAGGTATAGGTACGCGTAATCCATGCCAACCTCCTGGGTGTTCGTGTCATTAGACTGTAGTATATCAATGGGATGTATCATAGTTTACGATCGGATTATAATCATTATATGGATCAGGGATCAGCTCTTATAGATAATCAAAGGTATATAAGTAGTTCACTGGCAATAAGTAGTACATAACAACAAATAACAAATTATTGTTGGTTTTATTGCACAAGCAATTCATTATGTTTCGTATGAATTATTTATTATTAATATAAATATTTTTCTAATTTTCTATCAGCCGATGCGAGTGAATATCAAAATGCGATTTATGTTTGTTTTATTCACAAAATGTCTATTACAGATATACTTTATGTTTCGTATGAATTATTTATTATTAATATAAATATTTTTCTAATTTTCTATCAGCCGATGCGAGTGAATATCAAAATGCGATTTATGTTTGTTTTATTCACAAAATGTCTATTACAGATATACTTCTCGTACTTGAACATACCAAATGTTGAACAACCTCCTGTATCTGAACATAAAACTAAATCCCAACTCATCCCATAGACAATACCATTACATCATACCCCCCGATCTTGAATACCTTCCTAACCTGAATGTTGAACAACATTTTGCTAACCCGCTAATAGAAATAAGCCTTCCCTAAGTTGAACAATACTTGCAAAACAGTACACAATATTTAAAAAACTATGAAAACGTGTAAAAAATGTGAGTGAAATGAAAATGTGAGACAAATGAAAATGTGATTTAGTTTTAAGTAATTATAAATGGTCTAAAAATGCCTCCAAAAAGGTTTAAGACAAATGAATTAGATATTAAACGTAAAGTCAAATTAATAAATGATTATAAAAGTGGAGTCTATAGTCAAAGACAATTACATGAAAAATATAATATATCTGTTGGCGCTGTTAATAATACAATTAAAAATCAAGACATTTATTTAAGTGAGTCATTAAAAGTTAATAAAAAACTCAAACGTTTGTCAAAAGACCCGAAAAAACTAAAATTTGATGATTTAGTGTTAAAATTCATACAATTATCAAACGCCAATAATATACCAATTGATGGCACTATCGTTAAAGCATTTGCAAGTGATGTCGCACTAAGACTTGGATTCAATGATTTTAAGGCATCTAATGGATGGCATAATAAGTTTAATAGAAGATATGAAGTGAGGTTTAAATCATATTCTGGTGAATCAGCTGATGTTTCTGAAGAGACCGTGAATTCATGGAAAGAAAATCTACAGAATATAGTGAATGACTATAAGATTGAAGACACCTTTAATTTTGATGAGACGGGACTTTTTTACAAACTTTTACCCAAAAAGTCTTATCTATTAAAAGGATCCGCAAGTTTTGGAAACAAAAAGTTTAAACAGAGAGTGACAATCGGTTTGTGTTGTTCAGCAACTGGTGAAAAACTAAAGCCAGTAATGATTGGTGTGTCTAAGAAACCAAGGTGTTTCTCATCAATTAAATATAATATAAATTCTTTAGGGATTAAGTATTATAATAATACAAACGCATGGATGACTCAATTGATTTTCGATGAATGGTTGGTCACTAATGATAAGTTATTTCGATCGCAAAATCGAAAGATTTTGCTATTTATCGATCAATTCTCAGGTCACAAAATACCTGAAAACTTAACTAACATTAAGATTGTGCATTTGCCTCCCAATACCACTTCACGGACTCAACCACTTGATAGAGGGATCATTAGATCATTTAAGAGTAAATACCGAAATTTTTTATTAAAATTTCTGTCAATAAATTTGAGACAAATCTCAGACAATTGTATGGATTCAGAAAATATTGACTTTAAAGAACAAATGAAAGCCATTATTAATTCAATTGATTTGAAACAATGCGTTAATTGGGTTACAGAGTCATGGGGTTTAGTAACTGAAAGTACTATTAAAAACTGTTTTATTGATTGTGGATTTGATGTCAACCCTGAAGTTATTATTGTATCTGAGGACTTAAACCAGGCATCTGTTGCTGAGACTGAAATATATGGAGAACTGGAGGAATGTATCGGAGAGCCACTCATGAACTCAAGTGAATCAATGGATTTCGAGGAACAGATCCCTACAAGAAGTAATGACTGGAAAGAAGACATATTAAAAGAGGCCATTGATTATAATAATTCAAATGAAGGATCAGATATTGAATCCGATATTGAGATAATATCAACTGAATTGCCACTCATTGAGAAGCCATCTCTTAGTTCAGCCATAGAAATGGTTGATAAACTCGAGTCTTATATTGTGTGTGAAATTCCTGACGTTTTAAGTCATTTAAACAAAATTAAAAATGCATTGATTGATCACAAATTTAAATCTCAAACTAAATCTCGAGTTCAGACTGAAATTACTAAATTTTTTAAACCTAAATAAATTATTTCTCTATTTGTTTCTGATTTATAAATCAATTTAAGTGAATAAATGCATTTTCCTTTGATTTGATATATTTTATTGTAAGTGTCACTTAATTGTCATATCTTGAACAACCTCCAGTAGTTGAACAATAATTTATTCCCGTCCTATGTTCAAGTACGAGAAGTATATCTGTATATTAAAATAATTAGTTTTTCCCATATTTGCTGCTAACTTTACTACAGCAATACAGGTATTAAAATAAAATTCATACACAATAGAAAGCAAATGTATATATTATAGTGTAGTTTATACGGCAAAATCGATGACTGATCTACTATTATATAATATGCTTTTATACCAAAAAACAATTCAACAGAAGTCTGTAAGTTATATAAAAATCACGCGAAAAGAGCATTAATTTTTATTTCATACGCTATTAAATAGAAAATAGACAAATAGACAGTAGGATATTATGTGCATTTAGGCACTGGGATGTCATATGTCACGGGGTAGGGTAGGTAGTGGCACTGATGTTGATGACATACTTTCGTATGAATTATAAAATTAAATTTCTTATTTTTACTTTTATATTATACATTAATTACGAAATACTCATGAATTAAGAATTCATGCAAAAATTTTTAATACAGAAATAGTTTGTAAAAACGAAAATATTTACATTTCATCAAGCAATTATAAAAGTAGATCAACAGAATATTCACGATTATTAGAAATCTTATATTTTATGCAATTTAAAAATAAAATTTAATGAATAAATATTTAAATCGATAGTAAAATGAGCTTATTTTTAAAAATATGAGTTATAGTGAACTAAACAGACGGAACTTCTCAGCGACAGTAACCTTATAGTTGTAGTCCTAATGAACTTATATTTGCGAAACAACTATTAATAAGTGCCCTAGTATATTTAGTACGTATGATTAGATAAACAAAAGCACTGGTATGTCTGGAAAAGGATGTTCATTTGTTCAAAAGAACTATTAATCTATAAATGTCTCAAAAAGTAAGAGTCAATCAAAAGTAATAGGAGGTTCTGGATCTACCCAATAGTTTGTTCAATAAAACAATTGAAAGGGATTATAAATGTGTCAATTGTTACATGAATTTATGAATGGGATAAACAAATCAATAGATTCAAGGTTTTCACAAAAAAGTTTCTATAAATACAAAAACAAGTCGTGGGTTAGGAATAGTTGTCTCTCGAGAAGTACACAATTGTCTGAAACCATGAGATTCTTAGCAGTCTTTGCGCTCATTGGCAGCCTCTATGGCCTCAACGCCTGTAAGTCAACCAAAAATAAAATTAAAAACTTTGTTCAATATTACGATGAATTCCTCAAACATAGACGAAACCGTGAAACTAAACACCGGGTATGAGATGCCAATCCTGGGGTTGGGCACCTGGCAGGCACATGGAGCTGAGGTCAAACAGGCTGTTATTGATGCCATTAAGATCGGTTACAGACATATCGACACCGCTTCCGATTACGGCAATGAGGTAGAGGTGGGTCAGGCCATCGCCGAGTCTATTAAGGCCGGTGTCATCAAAAGGGAAGACCTGTTCGTGACGACCAAAGTGTGGCCCCAGGGCTCCGACCGTAAGAAGTCGTTAGCTGAGGTGCACCAGTCGCTCACCAAACTGAACCTGACATACCTGGACCTGGTTCTCGTGCACTTCCCTCAGGGAGACTTTGTGGACGTGTATAAGGGCTTAGAGGACGCCTACAACGAAAAGGTGGTCCGATCTATCGGTATCTCCAACTTCAACGAGAAAGACACCGACAAATTGGTGGCCGCGGCGACTGTCAAACCGGCCAACAATCAGATCGTATGCAACCCGAGGGCCGCACAGACCGGGTATGTGGACTACTCGCACACCCATAACATTACAGTCACCGCATACTCACCCCTCGGCACCGGTACTCTCGTGAAAGACCCTAAATTGGTTGCCATCGGACAGAAACACAACAAGAATGCCGCTCAGGTGATGATCAGATGGCAGATCCAGAGGGGAGTGATTGTGATCCCCAAGAGTGTGAAGCAACAGTACATTAAGGAAGACTTCGAGGTCTTTGACTTCACTCTAACCGCTGATGAGATGAAACAAATCCCGTATTAAATGATATTTGTTTGAAATACTTGATTGTATTTTGTAACATTTATATTTGTAAACATATATTTTATATTTAAATACAATATTAATAAAAATAATTTACATTAAAATATAGTTTTTTGAGTACACAGTATCTTATATTAGTAAATAAGTTTACAGTTAATTAGAGTTTTAACAAACTTTACCAAATATGTCTTACTCATTTCTATAAGGTTACACAATTACTGATTTACTCTAACTAAAGAGTATTTAATTTTTACGTAACTTCTATTAGATTTATGTTTATAATTTAGTGCTTTTATGACAAAATATCAAAAAAAACATATTTACTTATTTTGTTTAATAGTTAAATATGTTGTTAATTTAATAACAACTTTTTAGAGTTACAATTTAATAATTATTTAGAGATATTTATTAGATCTTTCAACTAAAGGAAACTTACTTTCGGTCCAAATAGGAGCCGTTGTCGGGAATTATAATTAAATAATAAATCAAACAAATTAAAAAATTTCAAAACTTAAATTAAAACTTATAGTTAATTTATATAATTTTTTATGTATGCAGTATTTATATTAAAAGTTAAGAGCTTTACAAATACATTTGTATTTGTAGCGCACTTTTAAAATGTGGTGCAAATAAACTCATACCGTATTTGCGAAACAATTGTTCATAAGCCCTACAATATAATATTACAGAATCGATTAGATTCACATAATAGATTAGATATTGTACTTAATTGTGCTTCACTTTAAAAAGGGATTAATAGTGAACTTATGCACTTAAATAAGAGACAATTAATCTAATAATTTCTCAAAAAGTAAGATTCCTAGGGAGGTTAAGGATATGCCTATTATTTTATTAATCAAATCACAATAAGGGATCATGAATATGAGAATTGTTACTATGATTTATGAATGGGACAAACAATTTAATAATCAGATTTCCATATTTTTGGATAAGCTGTTGTGAAACAATTTGAGAAATCAATTGATCAAGGATTTCGCAAAAACACTATAAATACCAAAAAGAGTCGACAATTAAATTCAGTTTTCTATTGAGTTTAGAGAAACACAGAATAGTCTTAAACCATGAGATTCTTGACAGTCGTTGTGCTCATCGGCAGCCTCTATGGCATCACCGCCTGTAAGTTAACCACAAGTTTAATAAAAACTTTAATTTTTAAGCTAAATATGAGTTTTTCTAAATACAGACCAAACGGTGAAACTGAACACCGGGTATGAGATGCCAATCCTGGGTTTAGGCACCTGGAAGGCACATGGAGCTGAGTGCAAACAGGCGGTTAAGGATGCCATCGAAATCGGTTTCAGACATATCGACACGGCTTCCGATTACGGCAATGAGGAGGATGTGGGTCAGGCCATCGCCGAGTCTATTAAGGCCGGTGTCATCAAGAGGGAGGACATCTTCATTACAACCAAAGTGTGGCCCCACGACGACCGTAAGAAGGCGTTGGATGAGGTGCATCAGTCGCTCACCAAACTGAACGTGACATACCTGGACCTGGTGCTCGTGCACTTCCCGTGGGGTAACTTCGTGGAGGTGTATAAGGGCTTAGAGGACGCCTACAACGCCAAACTCGTTCGATCTATCGGTATCTCCAACTTCAACGAGAAAGACACCGACAAATTGGTGGCCGAGACGACTGTCAAACCGGCCAACAATCAGATTTTAACGAACCCTAAGGCAAGATCCGACGGTTATATAGACT